TGTAACACCCCCGAACCGTTCTATACACAAGACGGCCAGGTAGCGCACAGTTGACGAGCTTCGGCAAGCAGACGGTCCAGATCCTAAGAACAAATAAGAGGTTCCAGTCCTTCCCCATGCCTAACCGTCCCTCTCATGCACGGCCTAAGGCTTGCCAACCCGTACCGTGGTCAGAGAGTTGTGTTAGTCTGGACAAGACTAAATATCAATACATCCACAACTTTAGTTTTTACTAAAAATACATTTTTATTACATAATAATCATATTTTTACAAAAGCTCAAGTTCAAAGTTTTACAGCTGCTAGGTTATGACCCACCCTAATCCCGTAACATCGTAACATCGCAAATAAACAAAATAAAACGTTTTATCTTACAAAAACACACACGCCAAAACGCAAATCTACTTGTGGTCTTCCTGGTCGGAACGTCCTACTCCCTTCCCACCTAGGGTTACCTGCAAAACAAAGTGTGTGAGAGAGAGTTAGGTTAGTTGAGTGTGGAGTAGCTACTGTGACGCGGAGTCCAGGAGCTAGGAGATCGCCGTAACCGGATACGTAATCTGTGAGTTCATGGCCGAGGGTGGTGATGAGTAGATCACCCTCAAACCGTTTTTTATGTTTATTTTCCATTCATTTGGGTAGACATAGGATTTGTGGTGTTGTTTGTGCTAATGTGTTTTGCAGGGACTTATTAGCGTGTAATCGTCTTCGGACGCTTTGCGTATTGTAATAAGTAGAAGGTGGTGATATCTAGCGTGTATTGTGGATATCTCACTTAGTGAATATCTTGCATGTCTAGTTAGGAACCTTCCGTGGATTTGATTGTGAACATCCCATGAATTTATATAAAATTCATCCGGATGGCTAAATTGTCTTAAGACGTGCATGTGCGGGTGTCCTGGCACGGGCTTATGAAATCTAGTGTGTTGCGTGTTGTTTGTGGTGGTGAAAACATGTATCACCGTGTTACTCGACGGGGTAACTTGATCTGGGATCGATAAAGGAACTGGACTTGGTGGGTCTTCGTGACGGCCAAGGGTCATGGCGTTCCTAGCGTGTGTGGTGATATGGGGGGGAACATCCGATACGTTTAGGGCCCTAGGAACCGCTCTTTTGTGTGGAGTCTAGATCGAGTCGTAGACTTAGGTTGATTGTTGTGTGTAGATTTAGGTTGTGTGCTGCATGTAGATTGCTAGGTTGATTGTTTTGGTGCTTATTAATCGCTTCGGCATTTGCTTGTGTACTCTTATTGCTTGCTTGCTTGTAATCTTTGTTTGGGGTTTGGGTTGGTTATTTTCTAAC